GCGCCACCAGGGAAGCCCCTGATCAATAACTTTTTTAAAATGTTATCCAGTAACAGAAAAAGAACATTGTCATCAATTTTTCTTCCTTTCTTCTTCAACACTATACATGATGATTCCACTGGTTCCCATGCCGGAAGAGTATTTAGTTCTTGTACAGGAATCAAATTCTTCATGAGATGGTAGTCATGAAAAATAGAACTACCATACGACCCAGCAACCCCACTACTGGGCATACACCCTAAGAAAACCATAATTCAAAAAGAGTCATGTACCATAATGTTCATTGCAGCTCTATTTACAATAGCCAGGACATGGAAGCAACTTAAGTGTCCATCAACAGATGAATGGATAAAGAAGATGTGGCACATATATACAATGGAATATTACTCAGCCATAAAAAGAAATGAAATTGAGTTATCTGTAGTGAGGTGGATGGACCTAGAGTCTGTCATACAGAGTGAAGTAAGTCAGAAAGAGAAAAACAAATACCATAAACTAACACATATATATCGAATCTTAAAAAAAAAGGTTCTGAAGAACCTAGGGGTAGGACAGGAATAAAGACACAGACGTAGAGAATGGACTTTAGGACACGGAGAGTGGGAAGGGTAAGCTGGGACAAAGTGAGAGAGTGTCATGGACATATATACACTACTAAATGTAAAACAGATAGCTAGTGGGAAGCAGCCACATAGCACAGGGAGATCAGCTCAGTGCTTTGTGACCACCTAGAGGGGTGGGATAGGGAGGGTGAGAGGGAGAGGCAAGAGGGAGGAGATATGGGGATATATGTATATGTATAGCTGATTCACTTTGTTATAAAGCAGAAACTAACACACCATTGTAAAGCAATTATACTCCAATAAAGATGTTTAAAAAAAATCATTCTTTAGTGCATTTTACACTTCCCTTAAGCAATGGAGTGCTTCAACAACACTGGTTTCTCTTCTTTCACTTTGCATAATCTATTGCTAAAGAGGTATTATAAACTATCAACAAGAGGTAACTAAGTTTCCCTTAAAGTCAATAAGAATTTGAGGGTCATTTTCTTTAGGATTAAAGTATGATTCAGTACTTCAAATAAACTGAGGATTCTCCATTTATTAAAGCAAGCTAACAAGTTTCTGAATGCAAGAGAAATGAACAGTACTGAATGCCAACAAAATCACAAAAATTCCTCAGTTGTTCAGTTGGCGCTTAAGAAAACAATTTCATGACAATTACATCAAAGTCAACAGGAAAGACATCAGATGTTGTAAGAGCAGCACCATGTAGAATATGAACCAGATAGCCAAACGGTTTCTGAAGAAACATTCGTGCTTTACTTCAGCTTTGAATAAACAATGTCTGCACTTTTATGCGAACATCTACCAACATTTGTATTGGTATCATCTCCACCAAAAGCAGTACAATTTTCTTCGTTAACTCCTAAGTCAATAAGAGAGTCTCTGCAAAAATTTGCTCTTGTTTCTGAAGTCTCATCTGGAAGAGTCTTTACTTAAAATAACCTTACAAGTGAGCCTTTTCACAAGAAGGTTATTGCACAAGCAAATTTTTCTGCTTTGTCATTACTTGAATCCATAAAAAGATGAGGCATTTAGGGCTTTGATAATCACTGCAATAGTAAATGGAGTTATTATATTTTTAATTATTGCAGTAGGTTTTGTCCTGGCATTTGAAATTTTGCTTCCAGTTTTGGAATTAGAAAATCCTCCTGGTAGCAGTACATTCAAAGAGTCATTTGAGCTGAAAGACTGATGACAATATACAATGTGGGAGACTGTTACAACTTCTGCTGTGATTATTTTATGTTCTTCATCTAGATTTCTTTTAATCAAAATTTTATTTTATCACTTTCTTTGATACAAGTTGAAGAAATCACACATCTTTTACTCTAAGCTGATAGTATATGCTCGTTTATATCTGACTTTCCACCATTTTCAATACTGAATGAACACTTGCATACTGCACAAAGAGCTTCAAAAGGAATTTTCCTCATTTAATTCAGAAAATGTATCATGAAATTCACACTTGCATTTTGGCATTTAGGGGTTCAAATATAGCAAATAAAAACGAGGTAATTTATTTTCAACAAGGGTGCCAAGACAACTTAATGGGAAAAGAAATGGTGCTAAGACAACTGGATAGCCACATGCAAAAGAATGAAGCTGAACTTCTACCTCATATCAAGTACAAAATTTAACTCAAATAGATCAAATACCTATATGTAAGAGCCAAAACTACTAAACTCTTAGAAGAAAATGTAGGGGTAAATCCCTGGATTAGGCAATGGTTTCTTACATATGACACCAAAAGCACAAGCAACAAAAGAAAAAAATAAATTGGATACCATCAAAATTAAAAATTGTGTGCTTCATAGGACACTATCAAGGATGTGAAAAGAAAACCCACAGAGTGCGAGAAAAATTTTGCAAGTTGTATACCTGATAAGGGACTTGTATTTAGGCTATATAAAGAACTATTACAACTTAATAAAAAGACAACCCAATTAAAACATGGGCAAAAGATCTGAACAGACGTTTCTCCAAAAAAACATAAAAATGTCTAGTAGGTATAGGAAAAGATGCTCAACATCATTAGCTGTCAGGGAAATGCAAATCAAAGCCACAGTGAGATACCACTTCACAGCTACTAGGATGGCTATGAACAAAAAGACAGATAGTAAGTGTTGGTAAGGAGGTGGAGAAACTGGAAGTCTCATACATTGCTGGTGGGACTGTGAATGGTCCAACTGCTTTGGAAAACAGTTTGGAAGTTCCTCAAAAGATAGAGTTACCCAGCAATTCCACTCCTAAGTTATATACCCAAGAGACTTGAAAACATGTGCCCACAGGAGAACTTGTACACGAATGTTCACAGCACCATTAGCTAAAAAAAAAAAAAAAAAAGTAAAAAAGTGGAAGCAACACAAATGTCCATCACCTGAGAAATGGATAAGAAATATGTGAGATAACCATGCAATAGAATATTATTCAACCATAAAAAATGAAATCCTTGTACATCCTACAACACGGATGAGCCTTGCAAACATTATGCTAAATGAAATGTCAGTAACAAAGGACCACATACTGTATGATTCCATTTATGTGAAACGTTCAGAATTGGCAAATCCATAGAAGGGGGGCGGGAAGAGAGAGAGAGAGAGAGAAAGGTAGATTAGTGGTTGCCTATGGCTGGGATGGTTGGGAAGAAATGGGGGAATGACTACTAAAAGGTATAGGGTTTCTTTTGGGCGTGCTGAAAATGTTCTAAAATGACAGTAGTGGTGATCGCACAACTTTGTGAATACACCCATTGAATTATAAAAGAAAAAAATTGGTAATAGCGACCAACGCAAGAACTGAAAAAGTTGTATTTAATAAATCTCATGGCTGCATCATTGCATCTGTCACAAGCCCAAATTCATATCTAACGGTAAGGTGGGAGTTGAGTCGTGAAAGGGTTGCGAACTTAAATTTTACGAAAAGCAAATTGAACTCAAAGGTGAATATCTAGTCCGCCTGCAAAGGAGAGCTGTACTTGTAAGGAACAGTCTCCCTTAACAAAGTCGGAGCTGAGCCAACCCAATCCAATGTTTTGGGAAGCTAGCGTTCCGGGACTGGCAGTATTTCAGAAGCGTGAGCGTCTAGCGATTGACGGGCTTCCAGCTTTGTTAGTGTGGTTACTGGAGTAAGGAAGCTGAGTACCTGTTAACTACCAGAAGCCTGGTCCCTTGAGTGAGGCACTTGCTGATTGGTTGTTGTCTAGAAGCATGGCGCTGTCAATGATTGGCTGACTTTCAGAAGCTCTGGACTGTCGTTGATTTACAAACTTTCAGAAGCCTAGCTACCGGAGTGAAGCTGTTGTTGACTGGCTGATTTTCAGAAGCCACTGGAGTGAGGCTGTCGCTGATTGGCTGGTTTGTAGAGCCTGTGTACTGATGTGAAGTTATCTCTAAATAATGGTGGTTACTTGATCAGGACTTAGAACTTGAGCAAAAAAGTCCTTTCCTTTCTTGAATATGAAAAATAAGTACTTTTAATTTCTAGTTCCTTCTTTTGGTCTTTCCTCAGCTAAACTCGCTGGAGACACCGTAGACACTGTACAGATCTTTTATTTGTAAAGGTAGGATTTTCAGTGATTTAAGCACCAATTACTGTGGCGGAAAAATAGCTCTAATAGTTTTTAATTGATTATAAAAAGATAAATACAGGACATTTAAGGCATCCTGACAAGGTCAGTATACGACGCAGGACAAAATCATTAAATACGTCCTGTATATACAGGATGCCTGGAAACTGTCAATTACACAGAAGACTGACGCTCGCTGGGATTAGGTTTCTTGCATACGGCTCTGCAGTCAGAAACGGGTCGAGTCAGAATCTGAACTGTAAAGGGCAGGGATCCTCTGGGCCCCTGTGAGCCCCTAACGTCTGCGCAAGGCTGGGCGCGCACCGCTAACCTTAGGTCGGCTAGAAATCGGCTGAACGTCTGAAGGGAGGGTGCACAATTAACTAGCAGCGGGTGAGGAAACAGTAGCAAGGAACCGGCCTGGGAGACCGGGTCACGAAAGCCGAGCACCAGGGCGGTTCAGATCTCCGCGCCAGGGACCTGCTGCGGCAGCAGAAGGCTTTGCTGGAGGCCGAAGTGGACTGGGCGGGGCTGAACGAGGCCCCGCCCCCAGGCGCGCCCGTGTGCGTGGCTGGGGGCGCCGCAGAGCCCCACTCCACGATGCGAAGCCTGAGGACAGGCCAGAGCGGCGGCGCGGTAGCTTTCACTCTGGGCACCCACGCTCCCAACGTCCAACCCGGCCGCCTCGAAGCTTAAGGAAGACTCGACCCGCAGCCGTGCGCTTGCCCCCACCCCCAACCCGTCCCGACGCCCCCATCCGCCCTCTTTGCGCGCGTCCAGCTCCGCCCCCTCCCCCGGCTCCGCCCCCGCCCCCCGACGTGCCCCCGCCCCCGACGTGCCCCCGCGCACTGCGCCCCCCGCCCACCCGGCACGCCCAGCCGCCCCACCCGGCCGTAGCGGGCCAGGAGACGCCCCGCAGGCCTGAGTGACCCTCGCAGCGGCGCCGTTCTCCTCCGCCTCTCGCAGCCATGGACGTGTACCCCCCACACCGGCTGGGACTGCCCCGCGCACGGTCCCCCGGCGGCCCTGGCCGCGGGTCGCCCTCCGTCAGGTACGCGGGGCTGAGGCAGCAGAGGGGCTGGCGGGCGGGCAGGCGGTTGCGGGCTGTTGGGGTCTGAGACGCCTCCCGCCGAAGGGCGTGGCCCGATATGGCTTCCTTGCGGACGTTTTTTTCCTGAACGGTTCCCTGACGAACGTTTCCCGAGGAGCGGCTCTCGGTGCAGAGGCTCCCACAATGGCTCCTGTATCGACAACCCCACAACGGCTCCTCTGTGAAGACCCCCTATTATGACATCCCCAACCCCATAGAACATTTCCCCCCGGAAAGATTCGCCTATCGAGAACCTCCACAGTGCCTTCTGTATGATTAATTCACTTGCCTTTCCCATAGGATATTTTCCCCAGAAACGGCCATCTATGGAGACGTCCCCTCACAATAGCTCCCCTTATAGAACCCCCAAATGGGTTTCCCTCGAAATGGCTTACCTCTCATGCTCCCCTACAGTACGTCTCCTTTAGAGCCTTTACCTCTCACTGCGCCTTCCCTAGAGAGTACCCCCCTCCCGCCCCATAGAAACACCCACACGGACAGCATCTTCCCTGTTGCGCGTTTCCCCACCTCCCCCTGCCCCAGCCCGAGGCTCCCTCACTCCACGATGGGGAGCTCAGGTTGAGGACAGGTGGAGGTCATTAGGGGCCTGGATAAGGAAAAAGGGGCCAGAATCCCCGAAAGCTGCGGATCCCAGGCCACAGAGCCTAGAGATAGAGCCCCCGGGTGCCTCAGTATAGGGAGGGTCCCCGCCCGCTTTCGATATATGAAGATTTGTTTCTGCTGTCTGCTTCCTGTGCCTTTGGAGCTGACCTTGATAGTCTCGGTATTATTCGTGATGGAGCTGGTTTGGGGCCGCCAGTGGAGTGTGGAGGTTGGAATGATGGAGGGGTTGTGGCAGAGACCATTGAGAGGAAGGGAGGAAGAGAGAGAAATGGGCTTTGGTTCTGCTAAACTGTCATTAAACCAGAAGAGGGTTTTTATTTGTTTTGTTTGCTTTTTCTTTATTCTAGCTACTTAACAAAGCAAATACGGTGTTGTTTCCTTTAACGAAGGTTGTCAGCTTAACATGTGAGAATGGTCTTTCCTGTATCCTTGTTATGGTATTTAAGGCATTGTATTGGAATTTTTGCTCTCAAATCTGTTTTTTTTCTTTGTTTTGTTTTGTTTTTATTTTAACTCCACCAGATTCATGGAGAACAAGAACTGAATCTTAAAATCCAGTCCCTCTCTTACTTACCGACATTCCTTCTTTCACCTCAGTTACTAACACATATTGGTTGAGTAAATAAAGGATGGGGAGGTGGGACTAGATACCCTTAGTTGCATTTGGGAGTCCTAATTTGCTTCTGATTTGGCAGGTGACGTTAGGTGACATATTTGGACTCCTGTTCTGCTCTTCAGTGGAATTTCAGTGGGCTTTACAGTTCCAAGTGTTTAGCAGCTTATGGTAACCATCTCCAGTCTGTCCTAACATTTCTGGCAGCCAGTTTCACTGTTAGAAAGTATTTAAACTTTGAATAAAATAGAAACTGCACAGGATACTTTAGAACTTGAAGCAGCCACACTTTAAATCCAGGGTCTATGTAGACTTGGGGTTCATCCCATATCATCTTGAGCTTTGAAGTCTGGAGTCTTTGAGACTTTTAGGGAAAAAAGAGCTTCTGAATAAAATCCATCTCTAAAATAACTGCTTCCTTCCTTGCTTCTGGTAGCACATTTTGCTTCTGGTAGCACATATAGCTTCTGGTATACATTTTTTTTTTGTAAGTAGTGTTTTTATGTTAAAAAGATCAATGTTGGCTAACTTTACTAATCATACTCAAACTCCGAATTTTCCATCACGTGGTTTGAGTGAAACTTGTTAGTCTTCAGACATGGGGTAGTGCAAGGAACCCGAAGGCCTGGAGGTTGTATACCTTTGGTAAAAGAAATTTTGTGAAAGTTTCCCTCCTTTCCCTGCCGTTTTTAACTGAACGTGTTTTTCTTACTCATTCAGTTAAGCCTTTCCCAGATTTTGACATTGAACGTTTCTAGAAGGTTTGTGCTCAGCACTTTCCTGTCACCCATATTTGGCTTCTTTGCTGCACTCTGACACCTGAGTGATGAAAGAGGCGGGCCTAACTGATGAAGCTGCATTCCTAGAGACCCATAGATAGTACTTTGCAAGTGAGTGGTTCTCTTCTAGCAATGGAGTTCATTTTCACAGATGAGCAGTAGAGATCAGGAGTTAAAATATTGTTGCTTAGACCTAAAAGCTTCTTTTTAATGATATGGTAGTCATCAGTGCTGTCCATCAAATATCTTTGGTTTTTGTCTCCTGGGCATGTGGTACCATTGTACTTGCTTGCACCCTTGAAGATGGATATGGCGTTGTTAGTTGCTTTTGGTCAGTGAAATGTGCACAGGAATGATGTGTATCCCTTCATGGTAAAAACTTCTGATGTGTGATTTGCCACTCTTTCCCTCTGTTTTGGTGATTGTTGGTGCTCCGGATGGTGGCTAGTCTCAGTCTGGGAACCAGAGCAAGCTTCCAGGTGACCTATGTTTGACATGTAGAGTGAGCAAGAAGTAAGCCTTTGTTTCAGGCCTCTGAGATTTTGGAGTTATTACCAAATAACTATCTTTACTTGTACTAAGGAACCAGTGGAAATAGTTGAAATATGCTTTCCTACTTCAGATCTTTTCCTGCAGAGGAATCTGATCCTGCTCAGGACTTGTTTAACAGTTTAAATTTCACTCCCTCTTTATGCAAATAATCCAACATACACTGTGCTAGGTGCTGTGGATTCAGAGCAATAAGGCAGGCCTCTGCCCTCCAAGAGCTCCTTTGTAAGTGGAGAGAGGTAAAAATCATAATACAGAGTGGGGAGAAGTAAATATTGGGGAGGAAATAGGGCTGAAGGAACAATAATGTAAGAAAGCATAGTCAATTTGGGGCTCAGCAGTTGGAAGAATGGAGTTGCCATTTACTGATATTGGGAGCATTGGAATAAGAGCAGATTTGTGGAGAAAATAGAGTTCAATTTTGACCTTGTTCATTTGAGTTTCCTAATAGATAATAGATAGCCAAGTGGAGATATTGGATTAGCAGTTGGATATATTAGTCTGTAGTTCAGGAGAGAGATTGAAACTGGAAATACCATCCATATTACTGGTGACTCCAGAATTTTTTTTTAAAGCTATGAGACTAGATAGAGACCCAGGGAGTAAATGTAGATAGAGAGGAGGACCAACATCCAAGCCCTGGGATATCCCATGTAAAAAAGGCAGTGTAGCAATGTCTTCCAAATTCTGAGGGGAAATGGTTTCCTACCTCTGAGATAGGGGAAGAATCAAGGATAGTCAAATGATAAATGCAAGAATAGACTATTAGATTTGGTAATGTGGAGGTCATTGGCAACCTTGACAAGAACAGTTTTGGTGCAGTGGGTTCAAGAGGATATAGAAGAGGAATTGAAGACAGTGAGTATAGATAGTCACAGTGATGTTGTTTCAAGGATTTCTATAAGGGAGAGCAGAGTAATAGGGCTGTGGCTGGAAGGGCACGAAGTGTTAGAGTTCTTTTTGTTTTTAGGTGGGCAGATAGCATGTTTGTAAGTTAATGGGAATGGTGGAGTATAGAGAGACAAATTGATGATTAAAGAGAGAGAAGGGACAGTTGCAGGGGTGAAGTCCTTGAGTAGATGAGAGGGAATGGCATCTAGGATATAAATGGATATGTTGACCTTAAGCTCAATAGCTACATGGACAGTTCATCTGTGGTGATTATATTGACCCAAATACTGGTGAATTGGTAGCTTGGTAGTGGGACAGAGTGAATGTTCACTTCTGATTACTTCCATATTCTCAGTTAAATAAGAAGGAAGGTCTTTAGCTAAAAATGAAGAGTGGGGGAGGTGTTGGAAGTTTGAAGAGAAAGAAGGTGTAAAATTCATCCAGGAGAGTGGGAAAAAATGAGTTGAATAAGGAAATATTTTAGGGCACCAGGTGCCCATTTGGCATTTGTAGTCATAAATTTAAGGTGGGTGAGACCCAGTTAGCATGGTTGAATGCTTCCCCTTCAGCTGTGTTGAGCTGCTTGGATGTGGGCACTGTGGGAGGGAGTGGCTGAGGTAGGATAGAGAACGTAATTGGAAAATAGGAGTAAAGGAACTGAGAGGTAAGGATAGTGGAAGGGTTATCTCAGTGCATATTGAGATCATCGTGAATTAAGATGGGAGTAGTAATAGCAAAGAGACAATGATCCAGAAGCTAAATCTTGAGGGAATTTGGAGGACTGAGTGACCTACAGGTTTGTAGATGTCTGTAACAAGGAGGGATAGTGGGTGGTTATTGTTTGTTGGCATGAAGAAATCATCCAAAATAAAATAGTTTCTCACAAATAAAGGTGTGTTTCTAGATTAAAAGGACCCTCCAAGAATCCAGCACAATTAATTTAAAAATATCCATGCCAAGGCACATCATCATGAAATTTTTTTTTTTGTTTTAGAAATTTATTTTTTATTTGTTTATTTTTGGCTGCATTGGGTCTTCGTTGCTACACGTGGGCTTTCTGTGGTTGCAGCCAGCGGGGGCTACTCTTTGTTGCAGTGCACCGGCTTCTCATTGTGGTGGCTTCTCTTGTTGTGGAGCACGGGCTCTAGGTGCGTGTGCTTCAGTAGTTGTGGCGTGTGGGCTCAGTAGTTGTGGCTCGCAGGCTCTAGAGCACAGGCTCAGTAGTTGCAGTGCACAGGCTTAGTTGCTCTGTGGCATGTGGGATCTTCCCGGACCAGGGCTTGAACCCGTGTCCCCTGCATTGGCAGGAGGATTCTTACCACTGTGCCACCTGGGAAGTCCCCACATAATGAAATTTTTGAGCACTATGAAGACAGAAGAATATCTATAAATCACATAGAGTCATGAATCATTAGATTGTAGCAAGAATGGACACTAGAAGATAATGGAGCAAGGAGTACCTTCTAAAAGAAAATGAGTTCCCACCCAGAATTCTGTATCCAGCC